TATATATATAGTTAAAGGAGCTTTGGTAGTGTAGTGGTTACGAATTGAGCTGTTAACCTCAGGGACAGCAGTTTGAAACTACCAACTGTTCTGCGGGAGAAAGATGAGGCTTTCTGCTCCCATAAAGATTTATAGCCTCAGAAACCCTGTGCAGGTTTGCTATGAGTCGGAAATGACTCCACGGCACATAACCACCACCACCACATGTTGTTAGGTGCTATTGAGTTGGTACCGGCTCATAGTGACCCAATGCACAGCAGAATGAACACTAACCAGTCCTGGGCCAACCTCATTATCATTGCTAGGCCTGAACCCATTGCTGCTTCCACTGTGTCAATCCATCTCATTAGGGGTCTTCCTCTTTTTCTTCTACCCTCCACTTTACCAAACATGATATCCTTCTCCAGGGACCGACCCCTTCTGATAATATGTTTGAAGCATAAGAGATGAAGTCTGGCCATCCTGGCTTCCAGCAGCACTCTAGCAATACTTCTTCCAACACAGATCTGTTTGTTCTTTTGGAAGTTCGTGGTACTTTCAATATTCTCCTCCAACACCATAACTAAAATGCATCAATTCTTCTACAGTCTTTCTTATTCACAGTCCAACTTTTGCATGCATATGAGGTTATAGAAAATACCATGGCTTGAGACGGGTGCACTTTAGTCCTCAAACTGACATCTTCACTATTAAATACTTTAAAGAGATCTTATGCAACAGATTTGCCTATATATATAAAATATTGTTGTATGGTCCTGCAGCATAAGCACTAGACTTGTAACCTCAAGGTTGGTGGTTTCAAATTTACCAACTTTTCTTGGACACCCTGTATGGGTTGTTGAGTTAGAACTGACTTGATGGTACATAGCAACAACAAATATGTGTATAATATATATATATGTTGTTGTTGTTAAGTGCCGTCGAGTCGGTTCCGACTCATAGCAACCCTGTACAGGGTTTCTGAGGGTGTAAATCCTTACGGGAGTAGAAAGCCTCATCTTTCTCCCGTGGAGCGGCTGGTAGTTTCGAACTGCTGACCTTAAGGTTCGCAGCCCAATTCGTAACCACTACGCTACCAGAGCTCCATATATATATATATATATACTATCTACAAAATTGACAGTTCAAACCCACCAGGCACCCCTTGGAAAGCCAACTATATACAGTTCCAGTGTGGCACTGTATGAAAGCAACTTTTGGAAGCCCTATACAGGATCACTATGAATCAGAACCAACTCGATGGCACTTAACAACAACAACGTATAATCATACATATATGTTGTATTGTTAGGTGTCTTTGTATCAGCTCCAGTATAGTGACAACACTTACAACAAAACAAAGCACTGCCCAATCCTGCACCATCCTCATAATTATCACTGTGTTTGAGCTCATTGTTGTAGTCACTGGGTCAGTCCATCTCATTGGGGGCCTTCCTCTTTTTTTGCCAAGCATCTATTTTACCAAGCTGATGTCCTTTTCCAGGGACTGGTTCTCCTGTTAATGTGCCCAAAGTATGTAAGTTTGGACTCTTTTGAGACTAAGACTCATTATCCTCACTTCTAGGGAGTGTTATGGCTGTACTTCTTGCAAGACAAATTTGTTTGTTCTTCTGTCATGCTTGGTAAAGTGGAGGAACCTAGAAAAAGAAGGAGATCCCCAACAAGAT